CCCCCCCCCGCCCCCTCCTCCCCCAAACAAATAAACCTCAATAAAGATTTCAAGGCACCTCCTGGAATGTCATTGCTATTTGACGAAGACCACAACCTACGAGGCACGTTCGAAGACGACCTGCGATGGTTTCTTTGCAAAGTCTCCAAACTTGTTCGGCAGGTCGAATCAATTTTCGAAACATTCAGAGGTGTGCACAGATTCTGCGAGTCGTCATTCTCGTCAGTTGGAGAAGTCACCCTCTCAGAATCATTTGACTGGCTTTTTTGAGGTGTCAACAAGTCTTCCCTTTCTATCGAACTGTCCACAGATAACAGATCAATCTTGCTGAAAGATAGATGCTGAAAGATAGATATTTCACAGTATGATTGCAAATGAAACCCCTAAATTCTTCACTGCTTCAAATAAAAAATTATAAGGTTCACAATTCAATTTATCGCTGGATGAATTAAATTGTCAGCCATAAACACTTCTGAACAAACAATTCAACGCCTAGTAACATCAATAAAAATCCGGATATCGATGACAACAATAATCATAAGAAAAATGTGAAACAATCATAATTGCAAAGATTAAAAATTTCAAAGATTTCAAAAAAATAATAAAGAAAAAATAGAAAAGACGATTACGTTGTGCTCAATGGAACTTGCTCATAAGATTCCATCGTATCCGTGCAATGCCCTTTCAGTGTAACATATAATGGAATCTCCACATTGTCTGTACGCTTCACTCCTTCGAACGTATATCGTTTCAAATACATCACCAAACATCTACAACAACAAATGATCATCACCATTTTTTTTTGCATATTTACGATTTTTACATTTTTCTAATATANTAAAACCGATTGCTTCTCAACTCTTTCGTACCAATCACCTAACTATACCCAAATAGAATCCAAATCCAAATCACCCTTCCCCATGCCCTTCCACAATTAACAGCATTTATTTCATAATCGTTTTCAAACCAAACAAGAAAACACTGCAGCAATTTCAAGCCTAATCATTCAAATCGCCTCCTCTACAAGCCGTTTTCGCCTATGTTAAGATAAACTGAGTGAACTAATTGAACCAGAGGAATACTCATCAGTGGTAAAGAACAAAAACAACGAACCGTGGTATTTTCTGGAATTTATGCTTGATCTCAGCACTGTTTGAGCCACACGAATCACAACGATGTTCCACTTTCTCATTTCTTAAGCAATCATCCAACATTGTCTGTATCGACACTATTCTATGGAGCGGAGTTTCTTCATGCCTCAAACGATATGCAACTCACTTCAACTCCACAATCAAATCATTGTCCATTCTTTAAAACCAATACATAAATAAATCTATTTCATTCAATAATGCAACCTCACATTCAAATTAAAATCTTCACTCAACAAAAACTAAACAAAACTATTCAAATTTCCGATAACTTTACAAACGAACTAAACACAATATAACATCGCACGAATTTCCTCTCACCTCGAGTCCGTGACAGCGAAATCGATTGGTAGACTAGTGCTCTCCTCAGATGTTTTGCTTGTATGCCCACAACTGAAATCGTTTACAAATTCAACTATATTTCTATTAGTTCTCATTAATCATAATCAGTTGAGCACAGTGAATTAACCAGTTGCATTAACAACAACAACGGTAATATTACTCCATAAAAATGAAAACTCTCTCAACTGCGTTGCCACACTGAAATTTGCAATGGATTTCGAAAAAATTTGGATGAAATGTTACTAACGTTGAAAAAATTCCAACAAAATGGACTCAAAAAGCAAAACAAACAAACGAACAAACAACTTATTCGATTCAATCGAATACCACAAACCTTTCACAGACGATATAATTTTGGATTTTGAACATGAAATTCGTTATCACCGGATTATTTGGCACTTTCACTTCATCGTTTGCTAATTGTTCATTACCCAATCGTTCACTTATAACTTTACTACATTCATCACTCACCTGATCGAAAACATGCGCCATGAACTCCTGCGCATCCTACAAATCTTTTCAACGTTTGCATTCTCAAATAAAACTTAAACAATAAAAAGGACAAAAATTATCACACATCAAATCACAATGAAATGTCACCAAAAACAT